CACAGTAAGGAAAGACGGAATTCCTGTGTTTGCAGTGGTTTTGATATCGTTTCTAATGTCAAAAATATTGGCACTTTTGAAAGTTAGAACAGCTCGACTTGTCGACCGTCGGATCGTGGATCCAACAACCACGTGTCCCGTGGTCAAGATCCCAGTCTCTGAGTGGCAGTTCATACTTTTGGGCAACATGGAGTGGGGCCCAGCAGACACTCTGGGAGCAGGCAGCCACCAGTCAGGGAAGGCTTTGCAGAGAAGACCAGAAAGGCGCGTCGGGCATCCCAGGAGTGCACAGCGTCTCTGGAAGCGCCCGGGAGGGAGTGGGGATGACTGTGGAATGCTGGGAAAATCGCTAGTGGTTTCAACTGCTGGAGCCTCAGTCACTGTGGGAGGACAGGAGTGCGCCATGGAGAGGGAGACTGCCCTGTGAAAAGCCCAGCTGTCCCCCAGGCCACAGGGAGTCCCTGGCAGCACCATCAGGAGGGTGGCAGGACAGATGGGCCTCAGGAGGACTCCTCAGGCAGCACTGCGCGGAGCCGCTGGGCTGGGGGGGTGGACAGTGGAGGCTGGAAGAGGCTGGGGGAGGAGGAGTGTGGATGGCCTGCCGGCCAGCGCTGCCCTCAACAGAGCAGCCTCAGACAAACCGAGCGAAGCCTAGAAGCAGAGCTTCCTCACACAGGCCTCTCCGAGGTGTGCCGAAGTGTCCTTTCCCCTGCCGCCTGACCCCCGCGGCCCCTGGAACAGGGAATGGGCTATGGGTGCCCAGAGGCAAGAGGAAATCGGAGGCTCTGAAAATCAAACAGAAACTAAATTACAGACCTTCCTTGCAACCCCGCTCCCCAGATCCCCGCCCGGCCCCACCCCTCTGAACGGCACAGTCTCGGCCTTTGGCTTCCCTGGGGCTTCGTGGGAACCGCGCTGGCCACGGTGCTTTCCTCTGCCTGTTCGTGAAAGTCAGGAATGACGGTGGTGACCGCGGGACAGGAAGGCGGATGGGAACACGTGTGCCTGCTGATAGGGAGCAGGACCCCTGAAGAAGCAGCTGCTGCTCGGAGGCAAACCTGGGGAGCCTTCAGTGACTCCGTTCTGAAGACGTGGAGGCTCAGAGAGGCGAAGTCTTGCTGAAGGCCAAACAGCAGCAGAAAGCAGAACCACGGCAACGAGAAACTATGAAGATGTCAAAAGTGCTGGGCTACTCCACAACCTGGGCTACTCCACAACCTGGGCTACTCCACAACCTGGGCTGCTCCATGACCTGGGCTACTCCACAACCTGGGCTGCTCCATGACCTGGGCTACTCCACAACCTGGGCTGCTCCATGACCTGAGTGTTCCATGACCTGAGTGCTCCATGACCTGAGTGCTCCACGACCTGGGCTGCTCCATAACCTGGGCTACTCCATGACCTGGGCTTCTCCATGACCTCGGTGCTCCATGACCTGGGCTACTCCATAACCTGGGCTGCTCCATAACCTGGGTGCTCCACGACCTGGGCTACTCCATGACCTGGGCTGCTCCATGACCTGGGTCCTCCATGACCTGGGCGCTCCATGACCTGGGCTACTCCACAACCTGGGTTACTCCATGACCTGAGTGCTCCATGACTTGGGCTGCTCCATGACCTGGGCTACTCTACGACCTGGGTGCTCCATGACCTGGGCGCTCCATGACCTGGGCGCTCCTTGACCTGGGCTACTCCACAACCTGGGTTACTCCATGACCTGAGTGCTCCATGACTTGGGCTACTCCATGACCTGGGCTACTCTACGACCTGGGTGCTCCATGACCTGGGCGCTCCATGACCTGGGCTGCTCCATGACCTGAGTGCTCCATGACCTGGATGCTCCACAACCTGGGCTACTCCATGACCTGAGTGCTCCATGACTTGGGCTGCTCCATGACCTGGGCTACTCTACGACCTGGGTGCTCCATGACCTGAGTGCTCTGTGATCTGGGCTACTCCATGACCTGGGCTACTCCATGTCCTGGGCTGCTCCATGACCTGGGTGCTCCATGACCTGGGTGCTCCATGACCTGGGTGCTCCATGACCTGGATCTCGGCTGTCCTCAGAGCTGCCAGTCCAGTTACCTTTCCTGAGAAGGGCCCATCATAGCAACAGGCTGATGCAGGCCAATCCAGATTTTTACAGAAACCATACAAACTGAGGTCAAAATAAGATTGGGTTTGGAATTGGTCCTCTTTTCCCCGTCTAGTTTGAAATGTGGCAGAGGGTGCTACGGGAATCAGGCTTTTCTACGTTTTATGGGTGGCTGAGGTCCCCGGGGAGACTTGCAGAAGCTCTTCTCAGGAGGCGATCCTTAAAGAGCAGTGACAGGTGTTGGGGAAGATGCTGTGGTCTCAGGAGCTCAGTCACGCGGGCTGGTGTGGAAGTCCACCTCTCTCACTGCCTCGCCACAGCGAGGCCAGGTCCCTGTCCTGACCGGGAGTGGCTCTGTGTCCAGGGGAGAGCGTGCCTGGCATGGACTGAAATCTGGCAGATTCTGGAAAGAAGAGAGCAGGCTGTACTCTTGGGAAAAAGAAAAGTCTGCTTGAACTGGCCTTTCTTGAAAGAAACAAGACCCAACATTCTTTCATAAAGCATTTTTTTTTCAAAAGTATTTGCCCTTGAGCATTCTTTCCTACTTACCCATGCTTATCTTTCAAAACAAACATTTATTCCTTTCCCCACAGAGTGTGAGGGAGTTCCTTTGAGGTTATGCCCTACTAACGTACCCAAGCAGGGACCGCCTCCTCCCCTGGCACCGCAGATGACTAACCCCACCGCAGGCCCGGCCCCCGGCCTCCTGGGGGGTGCTGCTCAGATGTTACCTGGGGGGAGATTCTCAAGGGGAAAAAACGCACAACTGTATTTTTGTGTGCAAACACCCGGTCCTTTTGACCCAGTGGAAACTGTGTGTCTGCAGAGGCTGCCCAGCTGAAGAGGTGATTTACCCTTGGAAATACTGTGTCATTTATCATCACCATGTCATGGGCCTGCAGCGGGCCTGCAGGGCAAACACCCACACCGAAAATCAATCTTTTCCAGTGCATCAGCCTGCAGGTCTCTGGGAGGGCCCAGGTCCCTCCCCCTGCCTGCCCTCCTTTCCTGCAGCCGCTCTGCTCTTTACAACCAGTTCAGGGTCAGGCCCTGGCTGACCCCAACCCGCCCTTTCTGCCTCCTGCCTTCCAGCCAGTGGGTTTGGTCCCCTCCTGTCCCTGAACACACCTTCAGATTCAGACCAGAGCTGGCCTGTGTCTTTTTAACCCTGTTCACCTGTGGCTGGGTTGAAGCCCACTTCCCTGATTGGGTCATGCCCAAATAATTCCTCCCAGAAATTCTTTAGAGCCTTGTGGAATCTGCGGTTTTTCCTGTTTCCTTCTTAATGCTCTTGCCTGTCTTCCTTCCTAGGCTGTCATTCCTTGAGACGGATCATGTTTCTGAATCACCTGCCTCTCGGTGCTCTGCTCCTAGTAGGCCCTCGTAGACATCCATCAACATTCTTTCCTGAACTTTATGGCATGTGGCTCCTGTTTTCCTGGCCTGAGTGCCATTGGCTGTATCAACTAGGTTTGTATTCGGAGAGGAGGTATATCCCGCTTAAAGGCATTTTAGTCTTGCAAATATGAAATAGAGTCATTTTGAACATTGGGTAACTGTCTGATGCCGAGAGTTCTGGGCACACCATTGACCATGTTAAGGTTTCCAGGCGAGGATGATTTTAGGAATCGGCAGAAGGCCTCTGGCCCTGCAGGAAGCAGGCTTGGAGGACCTCGCCTGTCTTACCTGCCACTCAGCTGGTGACACAACTCTCCAGGACATCTTGACTGGATGGGGAGACCCTGGAATATCTGCCCTTCACGTCACTGGCCTTAGTTGTTTGTGGCACAAACCACATGCATTCCTGTTCCTGTGAGGGCCAGAGTCTGACTGGGCCTCCGCCTTTCAGACGCTGATGCTCCTTCTCCGCTGCGTTCTAAATCCTGGTGTGCCCTTCTTGCTGAACTTAGCAGAGGCATGAAACCCCTCAAATATCCCTTCTTTCAAATGTGCTTTGCCTCCGAAATATTATTGAATAATATTTATTTATAAATTATATAACAGATACAAGCTATGTAATTTGAGTTACACAAATCAAAGCACTATTGTTAATAAATGTTAATAATAAATCTCCCAAATAGCATACACTTTTCCCTCCTTATTCTGGTGTTAGGCAAATAGTGGGGGTCTTGGACTCTATCCCCCCCTACAATCAGGATGGATGGTTGTACTGAATGTAACATTTTCTCCATTTCAACATTCTTGTAAATTAAGGAGGAGCCAAATTATTAGCACAGTTTCATAGATAAGGAAGTCGGGATTTCCACACTGACTGGAAACTCGGAGCCAAGTCTCACACTGGCTCTGCTCTCCTCCTGCTACCTGCCTGATGCTCCTGGTGTGGGGTCCAGGGGTGTCCTTCCGCTCGGCTCCTGGGCCCTGGTGAAAACACCCGGCGACAAGCATCCAGTTGAGAAATCAGCTCCTATGTTCATACTTGAGCTTGAGGAGCTCCACTTTGCATTGTGCTGTGTGTATGGAACACTGTCTGGCCCATTTCTTCTGCATTCTGTCCCTAGGGTTTAGGAGCAGTGCTGTTCACAGGGAATGTGCATCACCCCAGCACACAAACCTCAAGTGGCCTTGGATTTTTATTATTTTATGACTCTGGTTTCTCGTAACTCAGTGAAGCTCTCTGTAGCGAGCAGCTGACCTCTTATTAAATTGTCCCCTTCAGCCCTACCCCTGCTCAGATTATTAAGCAGGAAGGTTCTAATTATATAGTCTCATTCTAGAGGGGACGTGGGAAGATGAGGGAAATCTCGAGGAGGCATGTCACTCTCAGGGCCAGGAACTGGAGCCAGGGCTCCAGCACGCTAATTAAAAACTTCTCTTCCTGCAGATTCCTCCTGCGGCCCTCCCTCCCGCGTGCTGGGCGCTGGGTCTCCGCACTGCTCTCTGCAGGAATGCAGGCCTGTTTCTTTGAATAGCTGAGTGCAGATTAGTGGTCTGCCAATTTCCTGTGGCCTTTCAGACCTGCAATTTGAGCCCTGTTTGCTCCGGGCCCTTGCACAATTGGAGACAATGGGTGACTTCACTCCGGGGCTCTCAGAACCAGGGGAAGTGGCTAAAGCCCTACTTTACAGGTAATTAACAATAGATAATGTTTGCTCTGCATTTTTTGCAGTCGATAAAAGGCAGCAGAACATATTCAGCACCTGATTCAGACCCTGTGCCGTGGTTTTATGGATACAATAACTGTCTTTGGGTTAGCAGGGTGGCACGGGGGTCAGGCTCACAGATAGGGCTGCATGGGACCTACGGAACAGAAGAGCAACGGGAGGGCAGCCAGGAGAGGGCTGAGGACTGCAGCTCTGTACACCGTGCCTGGGGTGTGGGTGGGGTGGGGTGGGGTCCTGTTTTAGGAGGGGGTTTATTTTCACAGTCTGTTGACCCCCACACAAGGTATTTTTTTGTTTTATAAATTCAGTGCTGAAAGTCAACTGTTTGTTACAACAGAGTCAGCTTAAGAAGTGATTTGCTTTCACATTTGCTTCCTTTGCCACTTTGTGACAAAGTGGGTGTGTGGCCCTGCAGAAGGACTAAGGGATGCAGGACTAAAGGGCCCGGCAGTTATTACATAGCTTACATAGCCGCTCAGCCCCACAGAGAGGCCAAAGTGACAGAGGCCTTGTCCTGAAGGAGATTATGGCTTCTCTTTGGGAAGAAGAATCTGAGTGTTAATGCAGTTTGACATGTGTAAGCAGCTCTCTCTCTCTCTCACCCACTTCCTGAGAACTGAACCCAGGGGTGCTTCACCATTGAGCTACATCCCTCCCTCCTTCTTATCTTTTGAGACAGTGTCCCTAAGTTGTCCAGGCTGGCCTTGACCTTGCAATCCTCCTGCCTTGGCCTCCTGAGCCACTGGGGGACTGCAGGCCGCGCCATGGCATCTAGGAAGCAGGGCTCTTGATCATGGTGTAGCGGCTAGGTCATGTTTGAGGTCCCCAACTAACATATTTTTAGAGGGAATCTAAGTCTAAACCAGAAGGTAGTGGCTTTTTTGTTCTAAGCCACTTCTCATCAGCAGCATGAGATGTCACCTTACTCATCCACTCTTGAGAGATGGACAGAGAGCAGTTGCCTTCTGGGGAATTGACGTACTGTTTAAAACCAGAGCATCTCCTTCCAAGGGCGTCCAGCACACAGGGCTTCAAGTGCAGAGCCCTGTGGAGGGGAAGGAGCCCTGTCCTGCCCTGCTGGGCTCCGGAGCAGTAGCTGCTGATGTCCACTAAGGGCTGCTCAGGAGGGACAAAACCTCCAAACCCTCTTCTGCCCACAAAAGCCACGCGTGTGTGTTGTAGCCCAGTCCTGTTTCCTTCTGTTAGTTTCCTTGTGTGGTCCTGGGGACCCAGCGCCTTGGGGTGCCAGGTGCGCACTCCCCCACTGAGCTGCTGTGCCCCGGCCCCAACAGTTTGGGATAATGTTAGAAAAGTATAAGGATGAAAATAAAAATCACACGTATCCTGCTTATCCATTTCTTGGGACTCTTAACAGTTAATTGAGTATATTCTTTACCTGTCTCTTAGATTCTTTACCTTCTAAAATACAATCGAGGAGTAGAGCACACCTCTGCTTTCTTCTCTCTTTCTTCTCTTTTGTGACTCCCTGAACCTTTAGAACAGAGCCATCCATTCCAAAGTGGATCAGACCAGGTGACCGTTCAGAAAACAGCCCCTCTGCGAAGACCAGGGTGGGCCCTGGTTCCTCTACTTCCCTCCTTTCCATCCTCAGGAGCTCTGGGCACAGGTGGCGGGGCCGGGAGACCTCAGCTCTTCCTCCCCAGTGTCCTGGTTCTCAGGGGGGCGGTATCGGAGGGAAACTCGGGAGTAAAGAGAACTTAGAAGGTCCCAACTGCAGGACACTGTAAAGCTCTGTGGCAAGGACTCGTGCCTTCTACTAAAAAGAGATTACAGCAAGATAAATCCACAGAGAAAAGACTTTAAAAAAAAAAGGGGACCCTTGTTTTTGCTGTGAAAGCAGGTGGTCGTCTGCCCAGGCCGGCTGGCTGGGCAAAATAACCAGGGGGTGACGAGCAACTTGTGTGCATTGATACAGCAGGAGTGGGAGCCCTTTATTGCAGGACAACAGAGGTATTTATACATTCCACACAGCTTATCTAATTAGCATAAACTAGATACATCAGTCAACCAATAAGGAATCTCCACACTTAATGGCTCGCTGGCGCCACCTCACAAACCACTCCCTCTGGCATTTTGCCAGGCGCCATCTTGACTTGTTTACAGACCCTAACAGTCATCCCTCCTTCAAGTCCCATGCTCACACTCCCCTTGAGAACTTGTTCTCTGGAGACCGGTGCCCACCATCTCACCCACGGTGGCTGGCGTGGGATTACGTGACCAACTTTATCATCAGCATGTGTTTCCGGGTGTACAGGAAACGACTGACTAAAGCATCTGTTTAAAACAGGACTCACGTTTAGATAGGGAGCTGTGTGTTTGAAATGTAAAGGCTCGGAGAAATAAATATTCTGTGTTCCAAGTGCCCCACGGGCTGCGATGGGCTAGGACCAGCTACACGCGTGTCCACGTGCTCATCAAGATGAAATGAAGCTGGTGGCTGCGATGCTGGTGGAGTGTGCGGATTCCATCAGCCTTTGGTCCGCAGAGGAAACGAGCCTTGTGCTTGTAGGCAGAGCCCCGTCTTCAGCGTCATCCTGCTCAGATGGGAACCATGACGTTGCTCATCTTTTCCAATCAGAGAGCCCCCTCGCTGCCCCAGCCCATGGGCCTAGGAAGAAGTGACGAGCCCATTTCGATTTTATTTAGCTAACCTTTTACTCCTAGATAGGTAGGTGTTCTGCCCCAAATTAAGGTATTTTAAAGCAGCCATGAGCTCACTAGATGCCTCTGTTCTGAACAGAGTGCTTTTGACCGTCTGGCAGACGCGACATCATGGCTTCCTGTTCCATACTTGAATGCAGCAGCTGGGCAGACTGGTCTGTGGCCGAGGCTCTAGGGACAAGAAGCCCCTGACCCGAGCTTCAGGAGCTTGGTGGCCTGAGCTGTGATGATGCTGATGAGCCCATAGAGCCTCCCCTCAGCACCCCCAAGTGATGGAAAGATGGAGACCATCATTTCCCCTGTCCCTCGGGAGGGCCCCCAGGGTTTTACGGATCTTCCTTCCCCATCACAACCAGCCTAGCGCTGGCATCTTGGCAAAACTGTGTTTCGTCTTCTCGGTGGAGAAAGGGAAACCGAAGGCCGCGTGGAGCTGCAAGGCCCTGCAGACCACCTGCCGCCAGAGCCCAGCGCTGCGGCCCAGGGACCAGGGCGTTCACCTTGTGGCAAACGGAAACAACCCCGACTCTCTCCTTCCATCCCTGGTGGAAGCAAACGAAAGAGGAAAGAAACAGAGACGGACCTCGGCGGCCAGCGATGCTCTGTGGAGCAGGGGAGGGCCACATTTTCAAGAGGAAAATGGCGACTGGCTACAGAGTTTTCTAGGGTTCAGCAGGGACGGGCCGTGGGCAGAGCTGGCCAGGTGGAGGCCGACCTTCGGTGGGCAGGGGACGTTGGCAGATAAGGGAAACTGCGAGAGCCGGTCCCCAGCCTCCTTTCCCCAGGGTTTGAGTTCGACCTCTTCACCCGAGGAACTAAGGCAGAATCCGCCAGCGCCCGTGGCCCGCAGACTCATCCCTCAAACAGGACGTTCCCCACAGAGGCCCTTCTGGAAGTCCCCTACACCAGGATCAAGAGTCACACTCGGCTTTCTGAGAGGACACCTCTTAGATCAAGGTGGTGACTTACAATAGCTTTTACAGACGGGAAAGTAGCGATTTTAAATATCTGAGCAGCTCAACAACAATGCTGCGTGAGCCCAACCTCCATGAGCCCCACCGAGGAGGCAGGAGGCTGACCTCGGCACCGAGGCCACACTTATGAGGCAGGCGTGGCAGGCAGAGCCTCTGAGGCCAGGTGGTGGCAAGGCTGTGGGGACTTCAGACTTCATCGGCCTCTTCCTTGTGTGGGCAAAAGAACGGCCTTTCTCTTTTTGACCTTCATATTTTCTGCCCCGGTTTCCTCTGCCTCCCGGTCGGTTGCTGTCCCTTCCGAGGGCCTTATTTCCTAAGAGACTCGGGCTAGTCACCCTTTCGTACAGGAACCCGGGTCCCACAGACTTCAGCTGGGGCCCCTCCATTTCAGTTCTTGCTGCCCACACCCTGTATTCTGGCCCTCTGCTGCTCTGTGGGGGGGTCCTCGGGGAGCATGGCTGCAGTTGCTCCTGCACTCTCATCCCTGACTCTGTCTGGAGGCCGGCCAGCCTCTGCTGCGCCTGCTCACTCCCAGGTAACTCATTTTCCTCACCGTTCTCCTTTCTCCAGAGGACAGCATGCCCTCTCCTCATCCTTCACGCACCCCACAGCTCACCACCTGCTGAGGTTCCCTTGCCTGGGGCCTGGGTCAGTAATGCCACAGCCTAGGAGGTGAGTCCACAGTCCTTCTGGTAGCCGAGGAGACTCCAGCCCTGGGGGTCCATCTCCACGGGAGACAGGGACAGGGAGCCCAGGCCACCCGAGGGCTTTCTGTGACTCCACCCTGCACAGGTGGTCAGTAGGCGCTGGCCGGGGCTTGCAACCTAGCTCTGGCTCTGGGCGGTGCCCGGGCCTTGCACTGCAGGGAAGACACAGATGCACCTTAACTCCGCACAGCCTGGTTCCCCTCCTGCTGGCTCCCTCTAGGCCACTCGGGACCACTCACATGCTCTGCAGGACAGCAAGCGAGGGGGCCAACTCACTTGTAAAATGTCCCCTTAGCCTGGGTGTGCAGGGCCCTCTCTCTCCTGCCTTCAGATGGATTCCTCATTCACTGTGACATGCTGACAAAGTTCCTGTGCAAGACCGGCACCCCGTGGTGAAGGGCAGAGTCACGAATGTCCTGTCCATTCCCACACAGAGCTGATGTTCTCCAGGGACACAGATGTCACCTCAGGTGATGATGGCAGGCACTAGGCAGCTCTGTGTGCTGCAAGTTGGGCAGGCAGGTACTTCCTTAGAAGGGCAGTGCTTTCTCCCTCCTGTCTTGACGTTGGGACATGGGGAAAGTGTGTCACTGTGTCCTCATGGAAGTCATCGGGCCCCACCCTTCCTTTTCCACTGGCATATTCCTAGGGGCAGCAAGCCCTGCTAATTTTCCCATGTCCTGACATGTGAACGTTGTCCCTTGCCACCTCTGTATTCTTTGGAAGGGGGCTTTCTCTAGGTGGGCTGCTTCCCTCCCTACCCTGGGTTAACCCCGCCCTCCCCCGACTTTGTGAACCTTCTTTCTCCAGGGACCCCCAGTCCTCCGCTGTCACAGTGGAAGTCACTGATGTATTTTTATGGTTAACGGGGGCCACATACGGGGGTCTGCTGTGTTCGTGAAGACTTTCCGGAAGACCGTACTCGGCTGTTGATGTCACTTTCTGCCCGTGGACTGACGGCATACCACTTTTGGTCAGTCCCTTGTGACTGCCGTGTCCAGGGTATCATCCTACCGCCTCCTGCCCGTGCGTGGTGGCCGCACCTTTGGGATTTTACATATTGCAACATGTTCTTCCAGGGCGCTATGTTTTCAACCACACGAAAATACCTAAATAGATTTGTTTCTGATTTCTTGGACTTTCCCTTGCACAAGTGACAGTTTCCTCCTAGCACTGACGAAGCCCAGCTCTTCCCGTCGTGGGAATCTTACTGAGGAGGGGCCTTGCAGGGACATGCAGCACCAGTGCAGAGGGAAGGACTCCCTGCTCCCAGCCGCCCTGTTCTCCTGTCCAGCCCCGGCCTGCACTGCCCAGTTAGTCACCGCCCACCCCGTGAGGCTCCGTTCCCTAGTAACGGTGGCGGCTTCACCTTGACCACCACCAGCCAGTCGGAAAGCTGGTTTGTCCATAGTGGCTAAAACTGTGCTGGACAAATTTGTCTTCTATCTTTAAATGGGCTTTGCTACTTTTAAAGTTTGATTTTCAAACTAACTTAACATCTTACAGCCTCTCCACAACCCGGCAAAAAAAAAAAAAAAAAAAAAAGCCATACAATTTGGATCCAGAATTGCAAACAGACCAACAGTAATGAAAAGACACTGATAACCTCCACCGTTTCCTTCACAAGCCTCTCTGTGAAGGCAGTTAGGTAAAAATTTGATGTCGCAGGGAACCTTGTTCCCTGAATGACATTCCATAAAAATACATCCATCGGCTGCTTTAAAAAAAGTTTCCATGTCCCTGTTCATGGCTAAGGAACTCGTTGTCCTGAGGATCTGGGCGGCTAGTGAAGCCCAGGTGCAGGGTGTGGAAGCTCGGGAGTGGGCGGTGTCTTCAAGGAGTGCAGAAGACCAGAGGTGTGAACCAAAGCCGGTGAGGGGCTGACGTGTCCCCCAGGGAAATGTACAAAGGCCCCACTGGGTGGCCGGGTGCCCCGATCCTCTGGGTGTCATGCCTTCCACACTCCCAGCTCAGGGTGTGTTGGGGACTGAATGTGTTCATGGCTGCCGTCCCAATCCTCAATGTGACTGTGTTCGAAAATGGGTGTCACAGGGGGAACAGAGGCTAAGGTGTCCTGAGGTCGGGCCACAACCAGTAGGACTGGAATCCTCCTGAGTGTCCTGGCATCTGTCCTGTCTCTTGCTGTCTCTCTGCCCCTCCCTCCCTCGGTCTCTCTGCAGGAGCCCTGGGGACAGGCCAGGAAGGGCTCCCCACTGCTGGCTCCCTGATCCCGGACCTCAGCAACAGGGTGTCTGCGGCTGAGCCTCCCGATGTGCGGTTTTTGCAGCATCTTTAGCAGAGGAACACAGTGTGGCCCTGGAAGGAGCCGGGGAGGAGGACTCTCCAGGCTTTGCACAGCTAGTCCGCAGCATGGCTGCCCTGGAGGCCGGGTGCAGGTCTTGGTCTTCTGCTCTCCCGGCTGCGGCCCCACCAGGGCTCCACGCCCAGCCCAGACGGAGCGGGTGTGCCTTCTGGCCTTGCAGAGCTGGGGTAGTGTCAGCCCTCCAGCCAGCCGAGAACCTCCTTCCCGTGGACGCTCAGCCGCGCGTGGCTCACCGGTTGCCACGGGGTCACCGCGCTGCGTGCTTCTGCATGGCGGGGACTGAGATGCGAGGACCTTATTTTCCTTCCACATTTTCATCAGTTATTATAGACTCTGAGATGAAGGCAGGAAGAGCCCGCAGTCAGGAGGGCAGGGCTTCAGTGTTGCTAATTCTTTAATCTTTTGAATAATAGATCCAAAGAAATAAGGATAAGAAGGGTACAATAAATCCCTTACGCTAAGTTTCTTTTAATCTTATAATTTGTTGTGGCTTTTACTATCTTACATTACAAATATTGGCAGTGGGGAATGTGCCCAAGTTTGCCTAACAGGCTGGGGATTTAGCTCCATATGAGGGCTTGCCTGGTGGGCATGGCCCTGGGTCCATCCCAGCCCAAACACAATGAATAAATAGGATTTAGAAAATAAAATAAAAAGGGCTGGGGATGTGGCTCCATGGTGGAGCACCCCTGGGTTAAACCTCCAGGATCAAAACAACAGCAAAAATAGTCTGAAGCAAAATATATACAAACTTGAAACTAAAATTGTGTTCAATTTGGCAAAATTTAGATAAACTCAAAAATTCCAGAGGGAAAAAATTCATGAAATGATGGATCTTGATACTTTAGACACCACTTCATCTTCTCACCTCGTGCAGGCTGTTGTACCAGAAGACCATTTTCCTGAGGTGGAGCGAGGGAGGAAGGGACGGGGCTTGGCCGCACCCTGAAGCCACCAAGCCTCTTTTTAAAGGACTGGGTGAGTTCTTGGCTGCCCCATGGATGGCGCAGCTCCGCGGGTCTGTGGAGCCTCGCTGGGTGGATTTAGGTGGATCAACCTCCCCCCCCCATCGCACCAGCCTTGGCGCGGGGTGGAGTGTTAATGGCGAGGTGTTCTCGCTGGTTTCTTCTTTTATGACCTGAGGAAGACGAGTTCCCCATCTCTGGCCTTTCTCACAGGGAGCGCCTGGAGCTGGCAGTCTCCACGCCCGGCCTCCTCTCTGCTCTTGTGCCACCCAGCTCCGGTGACATTTTTTGGTATTTGAGACTGTGAAATAACTAGAGGGCACTCCTCCCAGCTTCTTCTGTGTCGCCCTGAACATTTTGGAAAAGGGCAGAATCGGAGTCACCTTGGGGAGAGACTGAGGAAGTCACTAAGTCCAGTGAGAGTCACCTTGCTGACTGCAAGAGACCCCTCTGTTTCCTAGCTACGTGGTCAGCCACTGTGATTAAGAAATCATTACGACATTCTCTGGTCCTGGGGGTTGAAGCCAGGTCCTGGGGCATGCTGGTGGGCACTGGGCCGCCACCCGTTACATCCCCAGTCCTGAGCGGTTCTTCCTCTGGTTGATACTTCCTGAGACTCTCTCCTTGAGAAATTCAGTGACCAATAACTCTCAGGCCAAATAAGTTCACCTTGCAAATATCCTAACAGATTTCTTCTGAATTCCTATATCCTGGTTCCCAAACCTCACAGGTTAAAGCTTAATAATATTCTTTATGATTCATTTTCATAAACTATTTCAACAGCTACATTAAAACCTTCAAATGCCTTATCCATCTTTGATGCCACCACACGGTCTCACACGTCTGGACGCCATATTCTGCATGGCCTGGTGTGGGGCAGAGATTGACTCCCAGCCTTCTTGACCACATTCCCAGACCCAAAGGAGGACAAGCCCTTGAACATCTATGGTACCTTCTGAGGACTAAGCCAACCCATGTTTTTTTTTTTTCTATAGAATATACCTTGAGAGTCTTATGTTACCCAGAGTCATTAATTATGTAAATTTTCTTTGCTTAGCAATTAGAAACAGGATGAAGGATGATGGGAGAGAGGGGATTTTTTTTTTTTTTGAGCAGACAAAATGAGAATACTGAGAAATAACTAATATCAATCCAAAAGATGTCCTCTGCACTGTGGCATGAAGGATCCCTTCACTTTAAGCACAAAATTGTTCCCAAGAATATCGCTGTATGATGACATAGTGTGGTATTTTATTTTCATCATAACAATCTTGAATTTAAAGAGATTTGTTTTTATATTCTGACATTAAAATGGCTCTAGATAGAATTTAAGATAAAAATTTTAATTCTTTATGGAGTACATTTGAGTTATTTGAAACATTAGGCTGTGCATACTGATTCATGGCAGATTTCCTAAGTGAACTAAGGAATTAACTGATCAGTGTGGAATAATATAAAATACGTATTTCTTAGGCAAAAAATGATCACTTCTTGCTCAGGTACCTCAGGTGACCGTTTATCCTGTAGGTACACCTGGCTCACTGTTTCCTGAGCTTGCGGTGACGGTCACCCTACAGGGTGGCTGCCTGCCACTCTGTCCTCCCCTCTACATGCCCACTTTCCTGGCCTAGCCGCACGGGTTGGCCCAGGGGGTGGCCAAGGATGGTCCCACCAGAATTTTTCCTCAGGGTTTTCCCAACGGGACAGAGGAAGACTCCTTCCCGCTGGTTGTAAAGATGCCAGTGTGGACTCCCAGGCCGCCGTCCCTGGCGGTCAGAGAACCTGCAGCAGCAGTGACAGGCGGGTTAGAGGGAACTAGCCGGAGTTTGCTTCAGTGTGTCCCCAGGTTCTCCACGCCCCGCGGGGTGAGCCCCGTGTCTGGCAGGCTGAGGTCCAACCCAGGCCTCCTGCACCCCGGGCAGTGCCCTACCACTGAGCCACCTCCCCGTCACGGGGCTCCATCTCTTGCCACAGAAGCCCTAGTGAGCCCATTTCCCAGGTTTCAGGCTGTACGTGACTCCTGCTTGTCACCTCGCTGTGGGTGTCACCATCCCTTCCACAGACGGGGAGAGCAGCCTCGGGAGAGCTTCCTTTGAGTGGCAGAGAAGGTCACGCAGCCTCACGACCTGGAAACTCACCTTTCTTTTACTTCTTCATTTTTAGAATTCTTCATGCATTCTCATTTTTTTGTGGGGCAAAATATACATAAACTAAACTTAGCCATTTTAACTGTGTTGAAGAGTACGGTCCTGTGGCCTCAAAAGTGCATTCATATTATTTTGCTGGCACTATATACTTCCAGAACTTTCTGATTATCTGAAACTAAAACTCTGTGCCGGCTGAACAATAGCTCCCCTCTCTCCTGGTGACTGGGTTCTACTTCCTGTCTCTGAATCTGACATTCCTCCAGTATTTTGCCCTTCTGTGTCTGGCTTGCTTCATTTAGGCCAGTGCAGTCTCGGTTCATGCCCGAAGTAGCCTGTGTCAGGATTTGTTCCCCGCCCCGTACGAGGGATTGAACCCCAGGCCTCCTGCATGCTGGTCAAGTGCTCTACCCGCAGCTACACTCTGACCACAAATTTCCTTTTATTTGAAAGGCTGAATAATACTGCACTGTGCTGAACACGAGCTTGTTGTTCAGTGGGCACTGGGTCATTTCTGCCTTTGGCCATTTTGAACTGCTACTGGCCACCTGGTTGAAGAGACGTCCACCGAGTCCCTGCTTTCTGTTGGTTTGGGTGCACACCGACAGGCAGACGGTTGGGTCGTGTGGTCAGTCTGTGTTTTACTTTTTGAGGTCACTTCCTGCTGTTTTCTGTGGTGGCTTCACCCTCTTACGTGTACCAGGCCTCTGATTCTCTACATCCTCACCAACACTAGTTACTTCCTGATTTTCTTTTTATTTTTTTTAAATAATAGGCATCCTCGTGGGTATGCAGGGGTATTTCCTTGTAGTTTGGAGTTGCATTCAAAGCTCACTATCTTGGAACTCTGCTTTTGTGTCCCCCTCCCTGGTGGCCCTTGTTCCCTGAACCTCATTTGATAGTTGCTTGGGTCCAGAGCACCAGATTCAGCTGACAAGACCCAGAACTGGTGGATCCTCCTCCATCCAGTGTCCTTGGCCAGGAGAGACTGGTGTCTCCTCTGCTCTCCACCAAGGCGGTGTCTAGCTTCTTAAGAATTGTTTCAGATTCTTCTTGCCACTGAACTCTTCCTGAAGCAATCTGACCTAGTCCCGAGAACACTTTACACCCATGTCCCTAGAGGATGGGTCAGTACTGGGTTTACCTGTATCTTCTCTCGCGTATTTTGCAAGTGGGTTAATCCCGGCTACTTTGGGGTTAGGAACTCTTGAGGGAAAGGATTGTGAGTAGCTCCTTGTATCAATCCCCTCGAACCGATTTTTCTGTGATGGATCTGCAGAGGTCACTTTACTAGAAGTTCTTGATGACATTTATAAAGTTGTTTTATTGTATCTTTCCTTGTAACATTTTTCTACTGCTTATGTGAATGTCAAAGAGTGCGTTCTGGTTTCCTTATCTGTTTCCCACTTACATGCAATTGCTTCTGCAGAGCAGTGTCTCCCTGTGTTCTCCTGGGACAAAGACGTAGTTGTCCTCAGAGAAGCGGACATTGGAACGCCCGTTTCCTTCTCAGCAGTGCCGCGGATCTGCTGGCACACATTGATTCCAATCTTGACTTTTGGACACAGCTATTTTTCAAAAACTGTTCAGATTTTATTACGTGAATATCATATGGGGACCCACTCCAAGCAGTCTCAGGTGAGCCTGTCTGTTAGCCGTGCTGTGCCCTCTGAATACAGAGAGGAAGATAACCAGGCTTTCTGTCCTGGGACTTTGAGTGACCATAGTGGGGTCTCCAGATACAGCCAGCAGTAGTCTCAGCCTGGGCACTTCCTGTCCCAGTTGGTGATTATTCAGAGTGACGAAGTCACAGGTGGAGAATTGAGGACGTGGCTTATTTGGTGCTGACTCTTAGGGGAGGTGGGGAGCCGGTACCTCCTGTGATTCTGGATTCCTTCAGACCAAAGCAGTGGTGCCGAACGCTGCCTGGCCCTTTAATCCCCTTGCACCATTCAAGGGCAATAGGAACAAGGGAGGGGACTTGTGGAGGGTGGCCATGAGGGAGGGGACAGGGGATGTTAGATAGCCGTGTCACTCAAAAAGGGTCTTCTGTTCTTTAGGAATTTTGTGAGCCGGGTGTGCATGTTTTCCACTTGAGGTTAATGGTGAATGATAATCAAACACCGGTGCCCGGGTCATCTGCTTGATACTTATTGAAAGAGCTTGTTTGCTGATCTGCTGAGTCGGGGAGCGGTGTGTCCTCCGGTCAGCTTTGCTAAGAGGAGTCCCGCTATTTGGGGAAGGATCTCTCCCCTCCTTCCCTCTCTGTTTCCTCTGGGCCTGGGAAAGCTGGTTTCATATTATTCAGAAGTCGACTCGCACAGCCGGAGTGGCTGCCCCTCTGAAGGGCTTTCTCTCTTGTCTTTGGCACAGAGCAGAGGGGCCAGCTGGTTCCCGTCTGCTGCCTTGAGTCGATGCACTTCCTCCCACTCACGGGCTTGCTGCCCTCTTTCCTCCCCAGCTCCTCGGCTTCCCACCCCCACCCCCACCCCAACCTCTCTGTTTTGTGGCTAGAAATAATCTTTTATTGCCCAGTTGTTCGGAAGTGACCTTTTGCCCTTGATTAGATAGCACCAGGCTCAGTCCCGGGGTGCTTTGGAGCGGGCAGTTGCTTCTTTGTGTTGGCTGATCCGGTGTCAGGGGGAACAATGGTGGGCTGTGCAGGGCTGTGGGGCAGCTCCGGCCAGTGTGGGGTGGGCGGCAGGGCTGGGGTTATATAAAGCAGCCCAGCGGAGCCTGCTGGCAAAAATAGCAGCCGGTGGATCCCTGTTGGAAAAACATCTTTTCTTTAGCAAACTGAAAAACAAATGGCGTATTTGAGAATTCATTTGCACCTATTTTTAACTTACTTCTGTTCAACAACCATGCATTTTGGAGGAGTAGGAGATTACTGTAGGATTTCAGTGCATGTATTTAAGTACACAATTATATTATTAAACTGTGTATAGTTTTACAAATATTAATCAAAAGAACTACTGAATTTCTGAGAACAATTTTCCAGAAAGTCCCAATTATTCTAAGTAACGCGTAATAAACCATATAATAGGGAATGTGCTTAATCACTGAAAGCTAACTCTTTTTTTTTTTAAAATTTTAAATCCCAGGGAAAATATCCACGACTTTTCTTGTTTCCTGGATAAAACTAAAGAGTCCGTGACATAGTATCCTTCCTAACAGTTCTCAGGCTCTTCTGATTTCGGATTCACAGGAATATCCGCTGGTAGTAGTACAACATTTTTGTTTTGAAACTTTCAGTTTCACTGTAAAGGTGAGCATTTTGCTATCCAGGATAAAAGAATTCGAAGATTTGATTTCTTAAAAGTCGATCAACATTGTTAGCATCTAAACTTTGAAAATTTCCCTGCCACCTTCTCAGTGTCTTGCCCAGGGCAAATCTACATGTTTGCTGTGATTCTTGGTGACAGAGGCCAGGCCATCAACCTAGACCTGCCCCTGTGGCTCCGAGCAGAGCTGCCCGTCCCAGCTTTGTGACTGGACCATTTCTGGTGCCTGGGCTTGTAGTGTTGGGGGACACCCGACAGGCAGCCCCCTCTGCTTTCCAGTGTCCCACGGAGGGCCACATGTGCTGCACCCGGTGGAAACCGCACGTCCGCCTTCACCACACAGGAAGCTGACCTGTCGAGAGCTGGTGAGGAAGCATTAGCAGCCAGTGCCATGGACCTAGGACAGACTCACAGTCACACAAGGCAGGGTTCAGGAGGCACCTGGGCCAATACCATGGTGCCGGCTGCTGGCTTCCACATGCAGGAGGGCGGCGTCCAGGAATATCAGGTGTGGATGCTGCAAAGTGACCGGCCCTCCTCCTTGTTGCTTTTTGCACCATATTGGTTAAATATGTCTCTCTCAAAAAATCAGCTGAAACAAAAACGTTTCAAATAGTTTTGAGAATGCAGTGATCCTGGGTGTATGAATGTGGCAATATCTCCGTGTGTCTTAAGGAGCAGTGGGTTCACTGTGGACGTTATCAGGGCCCAGACCCACAGCTTGCACAGAAGCTGCCGTGGGCCGCCTTCCCTGGTGGATCCCAGGAAATTGGCAATGACCAGGGAAGATCAATGCTCAGGCATCGAGCATGCTACAGGGGCCAGTAGCTATCTTTTGGCTCCAGCCCGTCTTCTGGCAGCAGAGATGGAGAAGGTGAGTCCTGTCTGTCCCTGTGCGGAGGGAGGTGAGGAGCAGCATTGGCCTCTGAGTGCTTAGGAGGGCTGGGAAATGGTTCTGGTCTTGAATCCT